GAGAGAGAGAGAGAGTGGGAGAGAGAGAGAGAGACAGAGACAGAGAGACAGAGAGGGAGAGAGAGATGGAGGGAGAGGGAGGAAAAGAGGGAGAGGAAGAGAGGGAAGGGGAGAAAAAGGAGAGAAAGATGAAATGAAAGAGACAGACCTATAGTTTTTGTCACCTTGTGCTTGTGAGAGTGGGTAGGCCTGCCCTATGTTCACACAAGAGTGTTGGTACAAGGTTATGTATTTATAGTAACTTGTGTTAGAGCATGGGAGGAAGCAGATGGTCCATTTCTTCCTGAGTACCAAAAATGAAGTAAGCCTTGTTTACATCCACTCGGTGATCAAAACAGACAGGAAAAGAGTAGGACCTACCAGTGACACCCTCCGAATTCCAAACTGGCTCTTTGTGAAAAGCAGATAACCTCCCACAAAGGAGATCATGATAAACGAGAGCTGTCAGAATTTATAAGTGATATAATAGAATATTATAGGAAAAAGATGTGACAAATGCTGCAGAGAAAGGCATTGAGACAACAAACCAATGGAGCATCGGCAGGTTCGTACACATTTATAAGCAAAAGCCAGCTGATAACTGGCACGATCAGAAAGCAGGCCCTTTCATGGATCCTGGAGAGGAGGGAGGAGCAGCTATGGCATTGTGCGGCCTGCACTGACGCCTATTCTCCCACCAAGTAAGTAAGTAAAGTAGAAACAAAAGGCAAAGGTGAGTCCAATAAAACACAAGGCTTCATACTCATACCATAAACTACAACAAACTACAAGCTACAGCGATGTACCGGCAGCGTGCCGCTAACATGAGCAACTGTCAGGAACTCCTTGACCTTGACCTCAACAAATGGTTACAAGTTTACCCTGGGCAACCAAATCTCACAGTGAAACTATTGCTGGAACATGGAAACAGAATTAACGAAAGGATCTCAATGTCGTCCGCTCCTTATTTCTATGGCATACTGCTGGGACTTTGATTGGGTAACCATAAAAAATTATCCGAAATTTGGGACTTTGGACATGATCATCCATCAAATAATAACCTTGAGAGTAACACTTAGACATAAGACATAAATTACAACCATTCAGTTCCTCGACTCAAGTTTCAACATGACAGCAAATCTCACACAAAACTCCACTCATTAGCTGGAGGCACACACCAGCCAGTTCAGCTCACAACAACGCTATTTCAATATTATCAATAAACACATGTAATTATTTCAATACACCCCAATTCTAAGTGCGTATACAAACCACAAACCCCCCCCCCCAAAAAAAAAATAAGCCCCCACATTATTTTTCAAAGAGCATCTTCTAAAAAGAAAAAAATTTCTATATGAAATACTAATCAAAAATTTCTCTGACATCTTAACTGCTATAACCTCTTTTAAAAAAATAAATAAATATCAGTGACACTTGGATTTATCAGAAGAGAATCTGCGCTACGGCAAAGATTGGGACTCACAAGTCACGTCATGTAATTGTCGTAGGCAATCCAACACCCCCCCCCCCCTCCCAAACAAAAAAGTGAGGCATGAGCGATGTAGCTCCCATGAAAGGACCAAAGTCAGGGCACCTGTTGAGAAGACCCACATTCGGTTATATAAAAATTATTCCATACTGCTGTCTGTCGCTAAAGCAAAATAAAAATGGCACAGAACATGTTCACATAATGAGCGCAGGTGTGCGGATCAGTGTCACGGGTGAGGAAAATA